TCTGAGGAGACCAATGGGTGGTATCAAGCGCTAAGCCATAACTCGAGCTAGGTGAGTCTCCAAGTGTGATATGGAGGAGATCGTTTGAGATGGAGATAAGACACTGGGTGGGCTTAACAGTACCGAGGGAAATAAGACGACTTGTAGTTGCGCTGTTGAGGCTCCATATTTTACTCGGAACCCGAGGGGACAATAATATAAATAGTTGCATGTAGTATCAAATTCTATCCCCAGGTAGACATCTGATGGGTATTGATAGGCTTTATGCAGTCGTTTCACACAATTTTATGACTGTCTTATATGTGTACACAGAAAGTTCTAAACAGATGAAGGCATGTGAGAAAAATTTCTCCGAAATCGTATTATCGATCACCTAATGAGTTAAAATCGCATGACTAACTTCTGATACTACTAGTTTTATTAAGTGTCTTTGCATAGTAATGTTAATCCTAGGGGCAGTAGTGGTACTAGAAGTGGCATTAGTGGTAGCAGTAGTATTTATGGAAGGAGTAGTCCTTAGAGAGAACCTTGAAAATGAAAACTACTCGACTATAACATCGTATTCAAACAAAAGATTACCAGGTAACAGATGTTTTTAGGTCGGATCTCTTTGTGTGATAGTCTGCGCGTTTAACTAAAATAACTTGCGTAACCCTGAGACTTCTGCATAGTACTTCTTGGTCAGTACTGCAGATAAGGCAGAGAGATCCTAGTTGATAGTTTAATTAAAGTTTGATATCGGTCAGATGTCCATGTATCACAAAAATTGGCTGGTTTCACAACTGAGAAAAGAGAAATAATAAGTCAAATTGTATCCATTCATTAGTGTTTTGTCCAACATTTTGTATCCCATTTCGGTATACACTGCTTTAATTTATTTCTCTATTATTTTCACATCAGAGCTGTCCATGTTTTAATAGTCTTCCTTCTAGGCTTAACGAAGAAAAAAGTTGACAGAGATGAAGTAGGAGGACACATATTTGTTTTGCTTCTTTTCTTTTAATAGAACGATTTTACCGGAAGACATTAATCTTTCATTTTGATCAAGTGACAAAATTAATTACTCTTGTTTTGAGAAGTAAAAACAATCCTCCTGGAACATTGCAACCCTGTCAACTTGTTCTTTGTACGGGATATTAGTGTTTTACTCGCTGTTATAATCTAATCATCATTTTTACAGTTCGACTAAGTGGTGTGTCGTTTATAAGACAAGCGTGTATTCAACTAAAATATTGAGCTAATACGATGTAAATCTCTTTTATAAAGTCAGCTATAACAACGACATTAACAGCACTAACAACGGTTTGTCTCATTTCATGTGATAACAGAAGATGAAGAACAACTTTATCGGTTTTTAATGTCAAAATTTGAGTTTAGTGTGATTCGAATGATTTCATTCTGGAGTTCCTCGTCAAGATAATGTCAGCTAGAAAATCATTTAGGATCAATAAGTACTTGGTGTTGGACACTTCGCATTAGTTCGTGACTCTTTGATAGTGAGTGCCTATGCTCTAATGCTAAAACCAAACAAATACCTTTGTATCAGATCAGTAACATGTTCGGTTGGGAAGAAATCTGCCTTCCATCAGTTTGTGACAAAATTTGTTCCAAAATTAGTGAAATTTCCACGGATGAGAAATTCGGAAGTTAACCATTGCTCATTATTAGCTACCTGTGGAATGCGGCTGATCTATTCTACTAAGATTGTGTATAAACAAAGATTTCCACCGATGAAACCGGTTGGGAGTGATTGTACACTGTAACTTAAAACGGAGACATGAAGATCTGAGGTGTTTGAATACAACGCATAGCTTAAATGATAGACTTTTCATCGCATAACCTGAAACAGCTGAGATATACATCTGATGCGGTATCAGGTTTTTACTCTGACGGACAGTTCTGAAAGTATACGGAAATGTGTACCATCATTGTGCTATCTGGTCTCGAACAGTTCCCTGAATGATAGTAGTTTTTGACTGGAACTAGAATGCTTCAAATCCAGTCTAGTGGATTGTTGTTATCAGTCCAAAAACCCTTAATGCTACGGTAAACGTTTCTTGACAAAGGAGCACAGAGAAGAACTAAAAAAACTGAGAAATGGTGAGAGACTGATAATCACAAAGCCTGATAAAGGATAAGAAGTAGTCCCCCTTGATAGAAGTGATGATATTAAAAAGATGAATGATATATTGAAGGACACACAGAAGTTTCAAAAACTTGAAGGGAAGGAATATTTCAATAACCAAATAGAGAATGAATTAACCAGACGTTTTAAGAAACCAAGGGAGGAGCAGATATTTTCTGAAAGTTTATATGAAGAAATCAGATAAACGGGCACGTATACGCCAAAGTTGTATGGCCTACCCAAAAGTGAACAAACCGGGGGTATTGTTAAGACCATTACTTGATATGCAGAATTCACCCTACCATGCTCTAGCTAGATGGTTAGTAAATATTCTCAAACCTTTGCATGAGAAGATAGTGAAATATAGCGTCAAAGATGTATTTGAATTCGTAGACAAAATCCAAGATATTAAATCAAGGACAAAAACACGATATCTCTGGACACAACATCTTTATTCACAAATGTACCTCTAGTTGAAACAGTTAACTACATATGTGAACAAGTGGATAACCAGTTGATAAACATTGGCATCCGTATTGAAACCCTAAACGAATTGTTATTAAGGTGTGCCATGAGTATAAGCTTCAAATTTGACGGCATGCTTTACAGGCGAGTGGACGGAGTGGCGATGGGCTCCTCATTGGGTCCCATTTTGGTTGATTTCTTTCTAAGTAAGCTAGAAAATGGATCTTTGAACAACCTTATGAGTTAGTTCTCATTTTATTGCCCGTATATGGATGACATCTTCATTTTTTGTGATGACGATTCGGATAGGAGTACCATAATTACTGAATTCAATGAAGTACATTCGGCTATGAAATTCACATGCGAAGAGGAATCTTAAAGCGGAATTGCCTTCCTGGATGTCCCCCTTACGAGAAAACCAGATGGTAGCATAAAAAGAAATTTGCATAGAAAAAGTACTTGGACAGGACAATATACACATTTTCACTGTTTCGTTCCTATCAAGTACAAAGGAAATTTAATGAGGACCTTCAGCCACAGAGTTAGAGCTATATGCTCAGAAGAAGTAATTGAAGATGAATTAAGCATTGTATTTGATACTTCGATCGAAAAAAGCTATCCCGAAAAATTTATCAAGAAACACATTACAAAGAAAGCAGAAAAGGACTACTCACTATCTGTAAACAAGAAGCCACTTTACATACGACTACAGTTCAAGGGCGAAATACGAAGTGAGATAATTACGAGAAAATTAAGAAAATCAGTTCAAAGAACTTTTAATGCTGGCGAACTACACGTCTTATTCTCTACACGACCGATGGCGCTACCTCGACTGAAAGATGAAGTACCTAGACTAGCCACTTCAAACTCTATCTACCAATTCAGCTGCGCTTGTAGAGCAAGTTATATTGGGCGTTGCTTTAGAAACTTGATTTTTCGTGCTCGAGAACATATCCCACTATGGCTAAGTAAAGGTGTAGTGAAAACCATTAACAGTTCGATATTGAACCATCTGGTGCAAACCGACCACAAAGCCAGCGTTGAAGAATCATTCTCTATAATCTACTGGGTGCCTAATAAATTGCCAAAATCATCGAAGCACCACATGCTCCAAACAGCAGAGGCTATTGCAATTCGCCTCAAACAACCAGTGCTCTGTGTTCAAAAGAAGCAAATCCAGCCCCTACTACTGCCCTGGCCGGCCTTCAGTAGAGACTATAAATTCATGAATTTGTAATATTATCTTTCCCAATTTTCCTGACATTCAGCTTATTTTATGTTGATGTTGTTGAAGTGTAATCTATTGATATTATTGATTTGATGTTATTTAAACATTAATATTGTTCATAACACTAATTCATTCATTCACTATAATGTATATATAACTGTAGAGTTATCGAAAAGAGTACTTACTCTTTGTTCAGTATCCATTCTTTTCAAAATTAATTCTTTCGAAGTTATTGTTTCTCCGGGCATAATTTGTTCCTAAAGTATTACGTCAGTTAGAATAACTTTCAAGTAAATGTGTTGATAAAAACGTCTGTCTGGTAGTTATGTAGAAATTTGTTATTTATTGGATAAATTACACGTTTTCCAATCTAGAAATGTGTATCCTAAAGTAGTCAGCTGATTATTCTGATAATGTTTGGGTAGTTATTATACGTACACTTAAATCCAACTATTTTTATTTGCTTCTTAATTCACCACACATTGAAATTTCTCTCTTCTTGCACAATAAAAAAAACGCAAAGTCTCAAGCAAAGTTTTAAGTATATGCACTATGAAAGTTGTTAAATTCAAAATGGTGTAATCACAACAAACTTTGGGTCACCAATGAGTTCCTGATAAGACGAAGAGAGGAAATAGTCAGTTACAGAGTGTCAGCTATTTAAAATGGCGAATAATGGCTGGAATCATGTCAGTTGTTCTCTAGTTTCATGCTGCATTGTCGGACTTCACACTTGTCGGTTAGAATCAATCTGCACTACAGTGAATATGTGTGTGCTTTATGACAGTTCAAAGCAATCGCTTAAACGCCGCATTATAATAAACACTAAGATCTAGTATTTATTACCAAAGGCTACTGACCGCATACAACATCACTTGGTTTACTGATTGACTGGCAGTGACTCTATTAGCACAACTGTCTAAGGTGATTTATTATTAATGATAAGGAAAATTAAACCATTTTACTTCCTCGACTTAATCGTAAAATAAGTTATAACATTAAATAAAGGGAATCACCTGATGCAACTCAAAGTGATACTGATTCATTCTCACTCATCTACCAGTGTATTGTCAAATTTCACATAAAAACAGAAAAAAATTGGTGAGTTTGTTGCATTTCACACTCGCGACGTAAGTAAAAGGATGGTGATGATGATGAATGAGAGTTACTTAAACGAACACAATGACTTTAATAAATCCCCCTGTCCTTTCTTCATTAACTGATGATTTAAATGAGATCTTTAGTCATAGCGAACTGAAAGGTATAAGCGTATAAATGAAAATAAAGAAAGACTGGGTTAGTAAATCCAGTCATTTGTTATAGAATAAGCATAAACAGGTGTTTCGATGTAGGTATTTCATAAATCTGTCAGTGGGCAATTGACGAAAGCATGCACACTAAATCCTGGACATAAGGTACCTTCCAATGAGTTATTTTCAATTATTTACTGTATTGTGAACCTGAGGATAATCAATAACTATAAGTAGTTTTATAGCAGTGACCACTAGATTATGTAAGAAGTTGATTTTTATTGGATTACAAGAAATACAACTACTGTCTAATTTAATTCAGTGAAGCTGTTTGTGTATTTCATTAGGGTAATTACTGTACCTCACTAACTGGTGAGAGAGACTACATACCTTGAGGAAGTGCGTTGTACAGAACTCACTGACTGAAATGAATTTGGTAACTAATCAACCTGTGAATAATTACTCAGAGGTTTTAGCTCGATTGTTTTGCTTTCTTTGCTACAGTCTGCCTATGAGAAATATTGAAAATTTCTAGAGTATTCTAAAACTTCATTGTTTCTTGTTAGCTGACTGACTGAAGGCTTAAATTACGTGTTTTTGTTATCTAGATAGTTGTTTCTTTATTGTTTACTCCTTAGTACTTACTGTCAGTCAAGCTTTTTTTTTGATGAAAAATCAATATATTTTTGCCTTGAAATTCACATTACTATAGGTTGTCATCAAAATTTTCACAAAAAGTGCGCGTACAAGATACCGAACACCTGTACTACTGCTACAACAAGTTCCGGGAAGAATTTAGTGAAAGAGTCCAGTGGTGAAGTAAACTGTCAAAATTTATCCAACTTTCCCAGAAGTACAACAGTAAGTAGACGTTTTGATCTTATTTGATTGTATTCCAATTGTCGGTGAATTTTGATTTTCCAATTAGTTTGGTTAAACTAAACTGATGTTCTCTATCTGTGTTATGATGTTGGCTCCCAGGATGGATGATTCGATGTTAACTGCTGTCTGGCCAACGGCGGCTTGCAATGCGAATAAAGACCCGCGTTTCATCCCGTCTGTGAGTCACCGGCTAAATGTTCCTATATCCTAGTGAGTTAGGGTGCTCCTTCAGGGATTCGAACGCAAAAGCCTTACTCACTAGCCTAATGAAGCCACAAAAGCCACTTAATGTGTAATGGATATCAGTTGCTGCTGATGGAAGTTACTTTCAATTTCCTGCTGATTGAATTTATTGGATGTGACTCAGGTGTTCAGTAGACAATGCTTTGTCACTTGAAACGGTGGGTGCTGGGTTCCATTGTCGGTGGGAACACTATTAGTTCCAGTGGATTGCTGGTACATCTTGCTAGCAAGTCTTGACTAGAGTGAAATTTGCATCTTGGATTCTCCTGCTGGTCAATATCCACAAAATAATTAGTCATTGTTTGTTCTCCTTCTATTAAACTAAAATTGTACAACATTCTGCGAACAGAGTATTGGCTATTTAATTGGAATGATGCACGAATATAGACATTTAGTTTGGTAAATACGGAACAATGTATTCATAATAAATATTTAGGTGTAAATTATCTTATGAATCGATTAAATTTTGATTGCATTCATCCTTAATACTAGCAAAAATGCCTATTTCAACGAAGGCAACGTTAAGCAGATGTTTTGTTCTCATCAAGGAATTTTAATTAGAACCTATGGTCACTCATATTCGAGACTCAACCTACAGCAATTGAGTTTTGTTACACGGACAGTATAATTTAGCTGTCGATTGGGGGTTTAAAAATGCATAGTTTCTTAGATGAACTGCGAAATTTGTGTTTTAATGTGACTATCAAGTCAACTGATTAAGTAATTAGGAAAAATAACCAGAAGTAACGTTTCATGCATGTGTTATGACTGATCATATTTATCAACATTACAGTACAGCGGAATTATGAATTTTGTCTCAGTAATTCACTGAACCTTATTGAATTGAATGTAACGTGCTACTGGGCATAGTATTTCTAGTCAGGTAGACTGGATTTAATGATTTAATTATTCTATGAACTACACAATTTAGATGTAAGACATTCTACTGAAAGACCCCTTAGCTTAAACTACAGATCAAAATGGGCTTTTAGTATGTGTTTCTTATTTCCGCTTACTTATGGTATAATTGGCTTTCTCAGTAGTCATGGTATCACTATTTAGGTCTGAAACAAACAGGGCCTTAGACACGAATTTGGTTGATACAAAAATGTAGAAATATCAACATGTGGAATATGAAGGAAAAATTCTACTTATTATTTTTCTCTTGTGTTCCGAGTAAAATATTGTTGTTCAACAGCACACCTTCATTTAATCTTGTTCTCTGCAGCTAATTCCACAGTTACTCATAAGCTTTCATCTTCCTACACAGTCTCCTCCATGTCACCCACAGACCAACGCTCTACTCGTCGCCTACCATTCGGGTCATACTTGAGGGCCCATCTAGCAAGTGGTGTTACTCAGCAGTCTCTTCAGAGTATGTCCAGTACATCTGGATTTCATTTAGCATACTTATTAGACAGTAGGTATAATGGTGTGCCAGTTGTTTGCCAGAGCTACGTGTTGCTGATCTTTTGTGGCCATCCGGTCTTCAGCATGGAGTGAGGGAAGCTGTTGTTGGATATTTAAAGTAGTCTATTGGAAATGGTTTTAATGACAGGCCAAATCTTTGGACATTATAGAAAAAAATAAAGGATGCAAGTGAAGTGTAGTACTCACAACAAATGACTTCCAAAAATTTTGTGACTACATTAATTATGCGTGAAATTTTATAGGTAGGCTTTTTTCATTTGGTACACTTTCTAATAGGGTACTATTAGAAACAGTAAATCCGAATAGATATTTAGTTATAAACGAATCGGTGATGAAGGGATAACTTCCATGGTTCTTTATAGTTACGTTGATGGAAATTTATTGATAAGGTGTGAAATGACACACTAAATAATATGGTAGAAGCAGTCTCCTTCAATAACCAGTAGTTCTACTTCACTCCAGCTCCACACAGGAGTAACTGCTCTACCAGCAGTTGGATGGCAGAACAAAGGTTCCAACCTTAAATGAGGCATGTTAATATCCCTTGATATAAAAAGTTCACTTTACTGAGCAGTGAAAACAGGTTTGAAATCTAGATGAAGCAGGACACTTTGTCTATTGCCCAGAATCACAGACAAATCCATTTTACTGAAGAAATTAGGTTTTCTTCTTGTTCAGAATCAGTTAGAGGGATGAAATGTTTAAAAGTATATTTAACTTCACCAGGTTTGTTTTGACATGGCTAGATGAAGTCTTCGACTCTGATATGCAGTTATTTTTTGGAATGTGTTATTAAAGGCCTTAGTTAACCTGATGGCATTTCATTCATTTTCCACAAAGCACTTCGAATAATCTGATGAGGTATCTACTTACCAGTTCAATTAATGTGAAAATGATTAAAAAAAAATCAAAAACACGATACAAAACAAACAAAGTAAATGACTGAAAAGGAACAAATTTAATCAACATCACTTTTAGTAGTAGGATCAGATAAAGGGTGCTTAGGTAGGTTAAGTAGAATAATAAATTGGCTTTATGCACATAAAATGGGTTCAATAAATACAGGTTCAATAAAATAGGTTTAATTTTACAGGTAGCTATCACTTTGGCATATTTTAGTTCTCCTACCTTGTCAGTTTTTACACATAATCTTGAAAAATGTTTTAATGTCAGTCTTAAGTTTTATATCATAATACATGTTGCTTTAGTCGAAGCTAGTTGTCATCCATCTACAATTTCTAAGGTTTTGGACCTCAGCTATTTTCTCAATCATATCGGTATATATGCCGTCACTCTCACGTGCAGTCTGTGGTTGCTAATCTCCATGTTTGTAAACCGTTATACAATATATGGGATATGATATAGCCACTTGCGCAATATTGAGATTTATGGTAGTGCATGTTTTTGATTTTTCCGGCAGTTATAAGCCTCTCTGCTTAGTAAGTTTTATGAAGAAAAGAATTTAGTCGCTATCTGAAGCCCATACTGTTTATTTTCTGTCTACATGATAATCGAATACAGCCATCTATTTTAGAGACAGAGTAAACTGTGTAGATTTATATGCTACTAACTTACTGAGACAAGTAGTTGTATACCACTCACACCAAACAGTAGTGCTTGCTAGCCAGACCGAAGTGACTTTAAATTCAGCCTGTAGTCTCGCTGGTTTTTGGATGAGCTCATCAGTGGTGTACGCAGTGTGACTCAGCCAAAAGAGCCGAATCAGTTGTAAACATCTGATTTCTTCCTATCTAGCTAGGTAACCTGGTAACACCTCAAATTCAATTCTCAGCTGTCAAATTAATTAGTCATTTTCAGTGGACAGAGTTCGAGGAGTTGGCATATAACTCAGTCAGCCAGTCTTATATAGTTTCCCTCATTTACGCTTGTTTTTCTAGTTATCATTCATGATATCAAGCAGTTATAAATTGTGATCTGAATAATTTTAGTTCACAAAGGAAAGTACGTTAAAATTTCACACCTCAAAGTGTGTAAACTGCAAACCGGATTTAAAGTAAATTCTGGGAGTTGAAATAATTCGATCTTTACAGCGCTTTAAAAAAATCAAAGAATATCCATTTCTGACATGTGTATAAGCGATTATTTCCTGCATCAGGTGTCCAGGTAAGCTGCATCCTCTAAATTAAACACATTATCAAGCCTATCTCGTATTGTACTGTGTGAAACTGTGCAAATCTAAAAATAGTCCTTTTTCAAGTAGGTTTTCTATAGACAACCGTCTTAAGTAAATATTCCTTTAATCAGATGTTGGATACGTGAAAGATCCAGTCGGTAGTAAGCCTTTTTGATTAACTGATAAACGTAGCATGCGAACTGTGTTTTCGCCTTATTCTCAGTGGTGACCAAATCTCATTTTAGTTACTGTAAACTAATGCTTGATGTCTAAGTATGTCTGATGCCTTATGCCTGCGGATAAAAGTAAAGATGATAAAGCCATTAGTTGTGTCGCCTTGATCTAATAATGAACAACTTCCTCTCTTGACTGTCCCGGTGCCTGAATGGTCAACGACCTCCCGTTGTAACCTGAAGATCCTGGGTTTGACCACCGATGGGATCAAGGGTGCGTACTGCAGAATATAGTGCTTCAGCGGTAGAATGCTCACCAACCACGTTGCCCCTAGGTTGGAGGTTCGATTCACAGAGGACGCATTCTTTAAACTCGTCTAGTTAGTGGAAAGCCCACCAAAATAGGAGAATTAGGCGTAGGGCCAGTAACACAATCTTGTAAAAGATAACCCCGATGCCGCAACTTCAGAGCCCTAGTATGAGTCCCTATATTCCACTCGGAACGCAAAACGAATTAAATAAATAAAATAATTAATTTATTTCTTGATTGAATCAAAGCACATCTGTGATGCATATAGACAAAAAGCCAGTTGTTTTTTTAAGTTTCATTGGGACGAAGTCTCAAAATGCATAAATATGTGTACACTGTTTTCATTTAGTTAGTGGTTGTGAGGGATTTTTAGTTGCTCACAGATGGCTTTCCCTTGGAATGACAGCATTTTGCTTCAGTTATCCATTGTCTCATAATGTAAACTACGCGTAGTGTTACGCAACGTAAACAGTGAAATGCAAATATATATATATATATATTTGAAGCTCACTCCACTGATCTCGGATTTTGTACGTTCATCAATCCGTAGCAACATCCACCATATAAGTAGATTACTTCAAGGTTGAATTGGTTGTTTTTACCCTCTTTGAAGCTGAATATATATTCATAATTTCTTATTTTTACAAAGTAGATTATAGTAAATTAAAAACTGGAAAAATACTACCGA